CAAGTGAAAAACACAGAGGAATTTAACAGGCTTGAGCATTATTTTAGCAACCAATTAAAGAACTTCGGGAGATTCAATTTTGATGACTTTGATTTTCAAAAGCGAGGCTCGTTTTGCTGAACACGGTTTTTAATGATTGTTGTTAACACCATGCAGTAAACTCTCGACATTGCGGATCCTAACAGAATACAAGACGCGTATCAGACATGAGCCTAACAAATGACTTAGCTTGACACAAGTCTCATATTTTGTAGCTCAGTAGATAATGCTCTCGCTTGCTGTTTGGAAGGTCAAGGGTTCAAATCATATCAAGTAATCAATGTTTTTTTGTTCCACACTCTTGATTATCTAACATTTCTCAACAAACTCTCTGATAAAATACAAGAGAGAATGGGCCATTTACATGATGGCGTTATTTTTCTACGAAGAACAGAATCCTTTTCTTTTTTCTTATCATATTTTTCTTTTAAAATTTTGTAATCCCAGTGAGGTTTAGATAACAAAAGCCTTAATTTGCACAAGAAAGCAATACCCTGAAGGATTCTGGTCGAAGTAGTAAAATGACGTCATCGTGTAAATGACCTATAGGTGAGCCTCACCTCAAGTAATTTGGCGTGATCGCTGTTGTTATCCATAATGGTCACGTCTACCCCGCAACATCTTAAATGCTGACCCAGTCCCTGCAGCATTTTATCGACCACGACCCTCAGCTGCTGCGGAGGAATGGGTTTCCTTTTTTGTGCCGGCGGAAGTATATCCTAAAGAGAAAGACAAGTATCTTTTATTTGTCTCTCAGTGTCATAACATGGCTAAAAATTAAACCAGGCTGCCGAAACGACAGATGGCAACAGTGGAGAAGTGAGACTATCCCTTTTGTAGGGAGAATGGTAGATGCGACATTTTTAGCTGAGGCTGCATGTTTAAACAATGTATGTGTTATGTCAACCCGCTAGTAAGACCTCCTTCTGTTCTCTTGAGTGAGTAGAAAAGAAGGCTTCACCAGAATCGCATCAAGCCTTTGAATTCGCCAAGGCCCAAGCTTCTGGAGTCTGGACAAGTCAATCTTGTTCTCTCTCGTCAAACTGGTTTTCCTGGTGCGAGCACCGTTTACTGATAAAACCGATGGTCATTACTGAACCCGCTGTACCAAGCGCACGGCTATTAGGCCTGGGTTTGAAACAGTGTCCTAGGAACGAGCAGCGCATGCTCAACAATGATCTTACTCAATTTGTGCAGAGTCTTTCTCGTGTACGTCAAAATCGGCAAATGAAAGAAAGGGGTCTGAAGGCAAGGTGCAGTTGTGTTTTAAAGGGCGATGGTTTGTCTCAAACTCGTTATTATTTATTATCATGCGCAAGAACCTATTTAAGCAAACAAACATTGAACGAAGGAAAAAACAAACCACAACATAAATGGGGTTTTTCTGCTATAATAAGGAATATAGGCAAGTTATCAACAGCTACACTTACATTGGTGCGTTGTCCTGGCTTTGGGCGTTTCCGTCTAAAATAAAACAAAGAAGGAAAGTTTATGAAGGTGGATATCAAGATTGAAGAAAAATTTTCTCCTTTGACTCAAATTAAGTCGCTTAATTAAGTAGAGAACATTCTTGCTTGATGGATGCAAATTTATCCTTTGAACAAACATACGTTTATAGTTTATCACGGTGGCAACATAACTTCGTCAGAGCTTTTTTTTTTTTTAGCAAGGCCTTAATAGAAAATACAAAATATTTTTACATCACAGGTCATTGCCTGCAAATTTGCTTATTTATAGTAATAAAAAAGTTCGTTTCCATGCATCCTTTAAATCTTAAAACAAAAGCTTAAAACTTACTACAACGCAATATGTTTCTCTTGACTACAAATATTTTTCGAAACGAGAACTTAAACGTAGAATTTGACGGCTCGGGCGACGAAAAAAAGACTAATCACAACAACTTAATACCGTTGTTTCTCTTTTTTAGGCTGCAACCAGCTCAGGACGAGAGCAGGTTCCATATTCACTCGCAGCCTCGACTCTAACATCCATTCCTTGAGCACGTCATACACCTCAAGCAGACAGTGCGCGTCTAAAGCTAAGGAAAAAGATTGGCACAGATTAACTGAAGTTTTTTGTGAATGGCAAACTCTCTGAATCTCGATTGATCGAAATGGAGCGTGAAAATCTTAGGCCTGTGGAAGGAAGAAAATGGACAAACCAGGGGACAATCCTTCGAGCGAGGCCGAGATACAACTTCAAACTTTGCTGACATACCAGGAAGCAGAAATGAAGTCGCCCCTTTGTCACTGAGGTGAGAGTAGAATGACAGCGCACGTGTCAAACCGCCATCTTACCGCGCTATCCCTGTTCTCTATAATTTATAGTAAGGGTCAGTCTCACGGCTTAGCGCATGGGCAAATTATGACGTATTCCTTTGAGTTTCCATTAGTAACGAACTACCACATGAGAACAGACAACTCGTGCGTGAGCCCATATTAAATATTTTTGAGTCAAAGAA